TATTTTAATATTGTTCCATTTACAATTGAACAATTAAGCTTAATTCAAGTTCATTCCACTTATATCCACATTATCAAATTCTGATCCATTGAAATTGCATCTTACAAAATTTCCACCAACCAAAGAAGTATCTCTAATCCTTATATTCTCAAAGCTTTATTCTCTCAAATCCACTTTCATTTCTACTAATAAATTGAGTGCATTCGATCCACTTTAAATAAACCTCTCGTCAATGGCTGTCAGACGAACTAGGAATTTCAAAAATTGCACTATGTTTTCAACATTTATAAATTTTTTCCTTAAAGTTTACTTTTTCGTTAAATAATTTTCTGTAGAATAATTCTGTTTATTAAAGTCAATTTCATAAATATTTTTCATTATTTAAACTGTAAAACAAATGTCATTATATACCTTCTACTTCATCTTATCATCCTTTACAAAAATATTATCTAAATGTTGTAAATGCAAATCTTTTGAAAAAAATTCTAAGCAATCTGTAATTTTCTCTATTACCAAAAATTCAATCATCAAACTATAAGTTTTCTCATCAATGCTTTTTAAGGTAGCCAAAACATCTTAAATGTCATTTTTCTTTTTATACACTTATTATGATTACTTAATTTATTTAATGCTAGAGTATTTAGCTAATAGAACATCTTTTAATTCTACATTCAACTTTTAATTAAAAATTTAAATTTCTTTCCCCCACCAATCCTTGACAACTTACAATTTCTTTAAATAAGAATGCTTTTAATCATACCATTTTTTTAATATGCTTCCATCTACTATTTGCACTAACTTTTCTAAATATGAGTTTGATTATTCCACAACATTTGTATTAACATTAAATATTTATAACAATTCTTTATTCTAAAGTTCGATTATGTCATAAATTTATCGAATTGTTTCTTATAATTATTCCCAAATCTTCTTCATCATACTTTCAGTTTGAGAGATGAATGATTATAATTGTTTGCACTACTCGTTAATTTAAGAAGTATCATCAGGTTTGTATTTTTGCAATTTTTCTAATACCATTTCTTAAAATATAGGGATAGGAATTGCATATTTTACATCCACTCCATGTTCGTAAAGGCATTAAGCACATAGTTTTCTTTAACATTAACACTTGTGTGGAGCTATACATATAGTTGAAATAATTTGTAATTGATGCTAAGGGCAATTCATAAATAATATTGAATTTCTATTACTTTATTTTGAGTTTTATACTATGAATCAAAAATGTATCTTTGCACAT